GGCTGAGGAGGCTTAAGTGGGACCCGGTAAGGAAGGCCATGGAATTTTTAACTGTTGCGTAAAGGTCCACAAGTAACCCAGGAGAAAAAATGGAAAGACTTCGCTGAATGTATGCTGCTGCGGAAGATACAATTGATCGGAACAAATGGCGACGTCTGACAAATGTGCGTGCAACAGGCGCAGATGTATTGAAATGATATCTTCATGTGAAATATAACGACACTACTCGATACTCAGATGATTAAACTCCTAAAGTTGAGTTTTCGAAAACGGGGTAACGTTTGATAAACAGTTTCTCTACATACCTTGAATACCTTGATGTCCGCTCTTCAAGGTTGGTTGCGCCATCCTTGCAGGACACATCTATGCCATTCGTTACGATTTCTTGCCATTTGTTGCCATCTCTGCCCATATAGTTTCTTAAAAGGATCACTCCACCTGGCTGGGGGTCTTCCTTGCGGCCTTTTTACACCACGAGGATACCAGTTGGTTACGCGATATGTCCATCGGTTATCGTCAAGACGAGCTACGTGTCCAGCCCATCTCTTTTTTGAGTCATAAATGGTTTCGATAACATATCGGTGAGAACATCTTGGTTGTTAAATGTGGCCCATCCCGCCTTTCGACGCCGGCTGATTTCTTTGTAAGATCATTATCCATCGTTATTGCTTGGCCAAGATAGTGTACGATGAGACTTCTTCAATGACTGATCCTTTCATGCATAAACGATAGTCATTGGTGTAGTTGTTTTTCATCCATTTGGTTTTTCCTGGATGTATTACAAGTCCAATGGATCGGGAGGCTTCGCTCAAAATATTCAGGGAGCTTTCGAGTGCACTCGGTTCGCTTCCAATCAAGACTATGTCGTCTGCAAACATCAAGTATTGAAGTCTTTCGCCGTCTATCTCAATGCCACAAGGCAGCTCGATTTGCCGCATTACAAGTTCTAAAGCCGCAGAGAATAGTTTTGGAGAGATAACCTCGCCTTGCCGTACGCCACGTTGGATCTTTACACGAACTGGTTCTTTGAGCAATTTTATGTCGGTGTAGCAGCTCGTGTTACATTGTCGTATTATTTCAATATATCTTCTTGAAATTCCGAACGTGGCAAGTGCGTTTAGTACCGCTTGGTGTTCGACCGTATCAAATGCCTTTTTGAAGTCAACAAAAAGATAACATAGCGGGATTCGGTATTCTCGACATCTTTCCGCAAGTTGAGAAATCACATGTATCTGATCGATGGTTGAAAAGCCTTCACGAAATCCGGCTTGTTCTCTTCTCGTATTTATATTGAGTGTTCCACTTATGCGGTTGAGGATGATACGTGAGAAGATTTTGAGTATTGTGGACAGGAGCGCTATAGGACGGTAGTTGGCCAGTATATCACGCGGTCCTTTTTTGTGGATCAAAATGGTATTCGAGCCCAGCCATTCCTTTGGTACAATTCCCGACGCCAGCATTTCCGTGAAAATGTCTGCCAAAGGGCGGGCAATGAACTCCTTCAGACATTTCAGGTGTTCTGCCAGAATTCGATCTGGTCCAGGCGCTCTTCCTCCCTTCATCTGTTGAATAGCCTTCAAAACTTCCGTTTCAAGTACTTTCCATTCATCTCTTGCAAGTGTGTCATCATCATTCTCACAAAATATCATGTTAGGTTGCACCAGCACTTTTGTGGAGAAGAGGTCTTGGAAAAAGTTTCGAATTTCTCCTTCCATTCCTTTTTATTCCTGACAACAGAGCCATCTTCTTTTGTGAGATATTCAGGGGTAATGGTTTTGAGTCGAGTGTTGATGAATGTTCTTTTGATGCTCGTGCATTTTTCAGCTGCTTCTCTTGCTTTACGTCCCGCGTATTCACGATATTCTTTCCTCACTCTATAGCGTATAGCCTTGTTTAATATAGTTCTAGCCACAGGAGTCATAGTTTTTCCCAATTCCTTCCGAGTGGCCAACATTTGCAGTGTAGTAACACTTAATCGTTCCCGAGGTCTGCGCTCTGAAGCATTTTTAACTAAATCCCGAATAGTAGAAATCAACTTTTCGTATCTGCTGTGGACATTTCCCTGTTCTGAAGAAAAGTTTGTCGTGGAAGCGAGCGCTTTTAGTCGTTCTTCAGAGAGTACATATTGAGTACGTCGCGAATGGTATGCAGCTAATCGTCTCCTTTCTTCTCTAAGCTTCATTGCTACTGTAGCTCGAACTAAACGGTGGTCCGATCCAATATTAAAATGCGATTCTCCGATCACTGTAACATTGTGAAAGAGGCGCAAGCAGTTGGTTAAGAAGAAGTCGATTTCGTGGAACATCTGCCTGTTCGGGGTATGGTATGTCCAGCGACGTCCTACACGCTTTTGGAAATATGAGTTTGCCACTGATAATCGACTCCGTTCGGTGAATTGTGCTAAAGCCTCTCCTCTGTTGTTTCTTCCTGGTATTCCGTATGGCCCTATATAGGATTCATCAGGTTCTCCGCATCCTAAGTGGGCATTGAAGTCTCCAGCGCATATCACATATGTTCCTTTTGGAGTAGTGGCAATTGCATTTTCGAGTGTGTCGTAGAACTCTTCCACGGCTTCATCTTCATATGCACCGGTGGGGGCATAGACCGACAGTATTTTCATCGTCTTCTTTTTGCCTAGTTCGAGCATTAGAATCGCAATTCTTTCAGACACTACTTCGCAATAGGCAATCCTTGCAGTGAAACGTGGCGATACAATGAATCCGACTCCTCCGACTTTTCCGTTTCTTGAGCCAGCTCCTAAGATCACTTCATGTCCAGTGTGCCATTTCCATCTTCCTGCATTGTATCTTAACGTTTCTTGGACACATGCTACATCAATCGCACACCTGTCCATTTCAGATACTAGCTGATCGATCACATAGTCGTTAACGAGACCTCGAGTGTTTATTGTTCCAATGTTTAGGAAACTGTTTGGCAGATCGCTTTCCGTGAGATTTCTCCCCCTCTGCCTTTGCCCTCTCTGCCAGGAAGGGCGGTGGCCGCACGGGACTGAGGGTGCTTCTTCTTGAACTTCACTCATAGATGTTGATGGCCTGGACTTACCCTCACCGCCTAGCCATAACTGGCGGTAGTACCACTGCCGGGTGTGGTACCTGTCCAAGAGGGGCCCGTTTTTAGCCTCACTCAACGCGTCGCTGTTCCGGCAACAACAACGGGAAGTAACATTGAGTGAGTTTACACCATCCCACCACTTTGAGGTAACGGGGCTAGGGGATTGAGTTTCTCTACATACATACACATAAACTGAGCTTCATCAACAATCGCATTTCAGAGACCAGCGCATTGTCATTTGGTGGAAGGCCTATAGGTGACACATGAATATCCATGGGTTGTATCTATCACATACGGAGGTAGGCAATTTTTTTCCAGGAAATGATTTATGGATGAAAAGACTGTATATAGTGTCTGGCCGCCACGAAGGACCCAATGCTATGCAACAGAGCTAGCGTTCACTTACAACAGCAGATTTTGAAGAAATGCCACAAATTTTCTTGTGATTTTGACAGCATGTGCGCAGAAACAGTTCTGTTCTCCGTTTCACACTGTATCAGGAAGGGGAATCAACAAAACATGATCCTCTCTGTACTTTGATCAGTGAGAAAAGAGAGGAGTAACGAACTATAAACAATACTCGCTAATGTATATTGTGTGTAGCATCGTTTTCGGAGCTATAGCCGCTAGCTCACTCCCCAGGTGATGGAAAAAGCGAAAAATCAAAAAAATTTATGGTGAACCCTTCGCAGCCTTCAGGTTCGAATCCCTTCGGACCTGCTGTTTCATGAGGGCAAAGCGAGATCCTGCCACCTTTGACTTACTATTCGTTTTTGTGGCGTCACCCAAAGCTGAATACCAACTAGAAGTGACAAAATGGCGTAGAGGCGAAAGAAAACGTGACAGAAAATAGCCTTCGAGGCATCTTGTGCAAAAGTGAGATTCGGGAAACCCTGTTCGACGAACTATTGCACAAATTAAATTACAATCAATGGATTGCGTTTGGCCGTACGTCCTAACGAAGAAAATGTAATAGAGGAGAGCAGAATCACTTATGAGCATGAACGTGGTAAGCGAAATCGGATATGAAGTTCATATTTCTGTTCACCGTCCCACCAAATAACATGAAGTGCTTACGTTAAGTGCGAAGAGAGTAGGCGGTGAGCAGATGTCAGAACTTCAACATATCTCAGTACTCTAGTCTTTCACTGTGCAGTAGTAGAAGTGGGACAATCCTTAAGGGTACGGGCAGGATCACTCGAGCAAGGAAGGATGTCTACGGTTTGATTGAGCGCGGAGTCTGTCTCCAACTAGAAGTCCACACCCGTGAGCAGTTTGCCCTCGTGATCACGAACACCATACTCGTTCTGCGCGAAAGCGCCAACCGCCCACGTCGCTAGCCCCGAGTGAACAAGTTTCAACAAATTCGGGTAACTTTAATCGCCTATACAGTTTTGAGAGGTATGGGTAGCAATTTCGTTTCCCATATTTGTAAGCAGAACTCCAAACTCCACTGATATCATTGGATCTTTTTCAAACATTTACGGGATGCTGGAGCCATTTACTAGTCAGAGGGGAAGGAAACATATCGCCGCGAATATTGGTGGCCCACGACTCCAGCAGAGTCGAATGCCTTACAAATGATGCACTTTCCACAACAGAAGTGCCAGCCTTACACGTTTTATAGCTCAGTATTTCAGTTCTTGCAGCCATCTAAGCTTGGTCGTAGCTGTTGTATGGATACTGTTGTTACTAATGTTACAGCAATTGCGCTAAGAAAGTTTCATGATCAGGTTTCTTATTTCAATGCAGTGGGTCTCTTATATCGTCCCGCCACGTATTGACAGCAGCTCACTGTGTGAGAGAAGTCAGGAATGAACTGTACTATCACCGGAAGCATGCAAGCGAATAGGATACAAGTATTCAGTTTTTCAGTGCTATAGAACTCATAGCGTCAGTCTTTATGCAAACTCACGTCATTTAGAAATATGAATAAGCTCCTTGCCCCAGTACGCAATTTCACGGTCGCTATTGGAAGTATCTGCAAGTATCCAAAGAATTATCCAGTGTTGTGCCCGAAGATTTTCCAAAGGAAAATAGCTAAGGTGAGAAATTTTCGTGTCAATCACATCCCTTTGAGGTGAATATATCAGTATTCCGCAGAGCCCTCATGCATGATCCACGCCGACAAAGCTGACTTTTTACCGAATAATGGTCCGTCGCCTTCTGATAGGCAGAGTGAGATATGAGTAACCAGTCGGATCGCCCGGCTGACGCCGAGCTCTCCTCCTTCTCTTTAGCTCGGCTTCGCCGAGCTGGCCTGGCTTCGCCAGGCGCGCTCATAATGAGAAACGGAACTCTTTCAATCACTGGGCTGCTCATACGGCGCTGTAGTGGTCGAATAATAACAGATACAGCAACCCTGCGGATCATGCACTCCTTAGCAAACGCTTATACTTGCGGTCCGCCATAACGCCCATACAATACACAGACCTACAGATATAGATACAAAGTGCGGTCGATCAATACAGCGCTTGATTGCGGGTAATATCCGTATAGGCAGAGTGAGATACGAGTAGTATTCTATAAGGAAATGCTGAAGCTTTCTCAAGGGACTTTCTAGCAAAAACTGGCTTCCCAGTCGGGTACACAACGTGTTGTGCAGTCAGCCCCTTGCCAGTGCGATTGCATCACATTCCAATTTTTTGACATTGAACGGTCGGATCTCCTAAAAGCTATGATCTCCTTTTGTCGCGGATCGCGAGGATCGCTCCCGAGGGAAATCCCTCAGGGTGCGCCGGTGCTCACGTGTAACCGTCGCCATGACCAACTATGATCTATCCGTGATCGCACGATCGAAGTGCGGCGCCTATAAAAGGGCACCATCACGGCCTCCCGGGTTAGTTCATCATCTGTCTAGCTACGAAGCGGTTGTCTTACGACTATTCCATATTCGGCGACGGACACGTGGGGCCTCGGCCCTTAGAACTGCTATCCTTTATGAATCTATCAAATCCTTGGTCGACTAGCAGGCTACGAGCGGTGGCCCGACGTGAGTTATGTTTCTAACGTGTTATCTTATCCTCTAGTTATTCCATTGTTTATCGTTGAGTTACTAACACGATCCTATATACTTCAGAGACATAAATAGATTAGTCCTCTTTGTATTCTGGTATAATGGTATAACCGCTGTTACTTCAATGTTATGTACAGAGTGGATTACGGGGAGAGTAGCCTCTAAGTAGTTAGATGTCATTAGGTGCGACAGGTTACGTACGATACTGGCCAGGTCGGACGTAGGACTGCTCCGGGAGTAGGACTTAGCTCACCGACCCCTCGGTGACCCTTGTGTGTGGCCCATGGGCGGACACCGATTCGCAACACCTTTACTGCTTCTGGTGCATGCTGATGGAGCGTACAGTCTTAATTGTGAAAAGGAGATAGGCGTACTGGCATGTTTCACTGGGATGTGACGGTGGCTGCGATTCCGTTCGCATATTGCCCGGTGGGACTTGCTACCCTCGTTAGGTATTCCTATAAGCACGCTCCCGCGTCTCCGCCTTGTTGTTTTTTGGAAACTACCATATTTGGTGCTTGCCTAGCGATATCAGCTCTTTGAGTCCCTATTGTGGGAAACGTTGATCGCAATTTGTCGCGTTGTTGCGTATGGTGCAGCCATGCGCGGCAAACTCCCAATGTTCAATTTGTCGTTTGGAGCAGCATATTTGATATGTATCTGAACAAAGAGAAGGCACCAGTACAGGCGATATCGGAGCTCACCTTGGCACTCATATTCAAACGGCCGCGCAGAGCGAATCTTCCGTCAAGAGCAATGTCGCTGGCCACGTTCCACAGCTTATCGATTGTCTTGTCATGGAGGTAAAGGATATCACAAGAATGCTGAGTTGTGGGCAAAAGTCGTGCCCCAGGCGGGAGTCGAACCCGCACCTCACGCTTTCCGGGCGAGTGCGCTATCCGTTACGCCACCAGGGCCGCTTTTACCCTCTCAGCTTAACGGCTTATGCCGATATCTAACGATTACGGCTGACCGGCTCACCAAGTTAAACGTGTGAGTGCTGATAGGCTACGGCATAAAAGCCGTTAAGCTGAGAGGGTAAAAGCGGCCCTGGTGGCGTAACGGATAGCGCACTCGCCCGGAAAGCGTGAGGTGCGGGTTCGACTCCCGCCTGGGGCACGACTTTTGCCCACAACTCAGCATTCTTGTGATAACGTTCCACCCAAATTTACCAGGCAGCGTTTTATTCGCCAGACGAACCTGGTACCAGTTTACCGAAGGCTCGGTTGCCCTGGGCGAAAGTGGACTCGGGAAGCGCGCCACTTGTTACTATACCACCTCAGACTCCCTGTCTTATCGTTACCCCAATATTTTGTTTATGGGGCAAGATGGTCTGAGATAGTCAATATTACAGTGACTAAGACCCGCTTTGTACAGCTGTCTCTGCTAGGCTGTCAGTTATTCTCCCGCTAGGGACGGAGCGCAAGGAAACAAAGCGGAAATGCGGGAGTGTAACGAGAACGTAGAGAACACAAGATTCAAGATAAGGACCTGGAGTAGAGACTGTACCTCGTGTACGTTCTGAAGCAGTCTTCCTGAAAGAAGCTTCGTCCGGCTGCGTATACGACGTGTTTCCCGTGGTGTATTAGGTTGTCGCATAAGTTCTTATACACGTGTTTGATCCTCTCCTATTTCGTTCGCATGGATGTTGGTATTACGTCATCACGTGTGCGTGACGTGTACATTATACTCTTTCATTACACTAGCTATCACTCACCGAGCTTGCATTTGCAGTACACAATGTCGCACAATTTGCACTGTGACAAAACGTACCTGCGCCACTGTTTGGTTTTGCTCCACGATTTCGGCTGGAATGCAAAGGAAGCCCATACCAAGCTGGTGGATACATACGGTGAGGACGTCATCTCTTACATGACATGCAAGAATTGGTTCGCCAAATTCAAGAAAGGAGACTTTTCTCTCGAAGATGCTCCGAGGTCGGGTCGGCCGATGGAGTTGGATTTGGAAGTACTACGTTCCACCGTGGAGGAGGACCCGTACCTCACCACCAGAGAAATGGCGACCATGCTTAGCTATGATCATTCGACGGTTGCACGTGGACTAGAAAAGCTCGGCAAGGTAGCAAAGCTTGGTCGATGGGTCCCACATGAACTGTCCGCTTATGACCTCTCGAGGAGGGTGACCACCTGCACTTCTCTCCTCACTTTCCAAAAGAGGCTTCACTTTCTCAACTCGATGATCACTGGAGATGAGAAGTGGGTCCTCTACGATAACCCTGTGAGGAAGCGGCAGTGGGTCGACAAAGGAGAACAGCCAGAAGCCACCCCAAAGGCCGACCTTCACCCCAAAAAGGTTCTCCTGTCCTGTTGGTGGTCCAGAAGAGGCATGGAGTACTGGGAGCTGCTGGAGAAGGGACAGACGATTGACGCTTCCACATACGTGACCCAGCTGCGGAAATTGAAAGATCACGTCGACCGTACTCGTGGAAGGAATGCGGAAATCTACTTCCACCATGACAACGCCCGACCTCACACTGCAAAGGCGACCCAGGCCGAGCTGGAGAAGTATGGCTGATGGTCGCCCACCCTCCCTACAGCCCTGACCTCGCTCCTTCTGACTACTGGCTGTTCAGCCACCTGCAGCGCTATCTGGACGGAAAAAAGTTCGAAACAAAGGATCAGGTCAGAAAGGCGCTCGACGACTTCTTCAAGTCCCAGCCTCCGTCGTTCTGGAAGGATGGAATCGACAAGCTGCCTGAGCGCTGGCGTCGAGTAGTGAATGGTGATGGTGCATACCTCTAATCTCCAGGCTGGTTCGTTTTTGAGATATTTACAAAAAAGTCGTGTATAAGAACTTATGCGACAACCTAATAGCGAAGGGGGTTGCCTCTATCAGATAGTATAGTATAATTCATGTCCCATAATTCGCAGGAATGTCCGGTACGATTCTCCCCATTTCCCGCACAAAAAGAGGGCGTATAGCTGTCGAGGTATTCCTCCTTCAAAAGGTGTGAAAATGGAGCGTCGTATGAGCCAGTGGACACGGTACAGCATCGTTGTGTGAAACCCATGGGGGGGGGGGGGAGGTTGTACTTGGCCGCTGTGGAAGGGGGGGGGGTCATGAACGCAGGGTCAGGGAGCACCGAACAGAAATTCATCGCTAAGTTTGATGGAGCGGACGGGAAGCAGCAGAGGACCCGAATGTAAGGAAGACTACAGAACATTAAATCGGTTGACTAGCAATTTCAATACTTAGCATGGACGCGTGAGTATGTAGATGACTAAATTATGAATCTGAAACAGATTTGTACGTATCGACCTTTCCAAACCCTAAACAAACCTTTGCTCGCATGGACAAGGATCACCTAAACTTAGAAGTCGAACCTTTATATCGCCTTTGCGTAGAAGCGTATGCACGGCGCACACTCGGAAAAAATCGATCGATTATAACCAAATTATGCTTTGACTCAGTTCAAAGGAGATATTTTTCAGGGCATGCTGAAGTTCGCGAACGAGTTACCGGACGTCAAGCTTTTGGGGCTAAGAACCTCGCGCGAAACCTTTTGAAATATCTTGTAAACTAGCGGGTCCTCAGAAACTGTAGAGCTCGTTGGAGAGAGAAAAGTCTGTGCGTTCTGGTGATACCTTTGCTGTTGCAAAAAACTATATCAAAATTGTGTGGGTTAATCATGTAATAGTTTTTATTTTCACTTGAAATTGAGGTACCCGGATATGCCTTGTGAAAGCACCTAGGGGTAGTGTTTTTACTTATTGTTTTTATTTGATGATTTTGTGGTTACCTCTATCCAATAAGCCTCCTCACGGGCGGCGGGCGGTGTCAGTAGCCTCCTCGGCTGGCTAGCAGGCAAATCGTTACGTATCTATCCTTCTCGTTAGTTCCGAACAGTTATGGCCGCAGGGGAAGGAAGGGTTCGTACCCGAGACTCGTTCCGGGTGGGGTGGGGGGGGGCGGTCGTACTGACAGCACCACTTCACACATCACGATGCTGTACCCTGCCAAAGGAGTTCCAGTGAGCTCCCACTAAAGCATAAAAGATGAATCCGCCATTGATCAGTCGCTTTTGGAATGCGACACGAATAGTTCTTCAAGCTTTCAGAAGGAGAAAAGAAACAGGAGTTTATACAAGCACTCTACCGCACGTAGGCGCAAAACAAACATGGGCGTGTCTTATCAGACTGCATATTGAGACATTTGGTACATGAAATCAATGATTTATGAGAAGTCCGCATTTCAGCGCGTAAATCTATCATTGAGAGGAACTAAGAAAACATTTAGCAATAGCATCTGGACCAGTATCGCAGCGGTTTCGAGTTAAGGAGAAAAGGCGTGATTTTAGCCGACTCTGGGATCAATGGAGACCTGCATCACCGATGACCTTGTAGCGCTCCAGTGATCTCACGATGACTTACTGGCCCTTGTGGTTTAAAGGCAGTTGGCACGATAAATTCCAAAGACGAGTAGGATTAATACGCCTGGCAGGACGGAATTCCCGCGCCCCTGAGCAGGCGCTGCGTAGCGCCTTTTCCAAGGGAGGCCCTTATAAGGGCCCTATCAAGCTACAACATACCGACCCAAACGCCCACCACGCCCGCCCGCCCACAAATGGACGACCGTTCCTGACGCTCGTATTGATTCATTTGCTAAGCAAATTATGAAGCAAAGGGATTGGTATGAAGCGGCGGCAGTGCTGCATGGATATCAGTGGGCAGTATTCAGTATGCAGCCGTATCTTTGATAGCGGTTATCGGCAAAATGCCCACGGGGAACTCGTCCCAAGTTGATTTATAGTCACTGAGAACGAAGGCTTTTTCTTCGCAGGATTTTGACCGTTTCACTCCGTTTTTCGCCATTTCCCACTATATAGCACCCTGCTAGCATTTTAGCCGAGTACCAAATTATCGTGCCAGCTGCCTTTAAATTACTCCCGCTGGCGACCACACAATTGTTGAAGAAAGGCTCGCATTAGGTCTACCCAGCAACTGACATGCGTCTGTAGCAAAAATGCAACAGCAGACTCGCATAGCTGGAATCTGGCCCTGGTAACTACTTCTTCCAGTCGCGAACTTCATTGTTGTCTGCCACATAAAATATTCAGATTTATGTACCGGACAACTTTGATGAGTGCTCTTATGTCAACGATCTAGCAATAATGGAATTGGAAACTCCCGTATCCGAAGTGCTAGCAACGCCGATTTGCTTACCAAACAAGTTTCACGAAGCTCGCCACTACGCTTCAGCAAGCTGGAATTGGATTTAGAGGCCGTATGTTAACGAAATTTTGATTTCCTTAACTGCTAATCACCATCATGTTTCAAGCCGAACAAAACCTGGATTTCTTACCCAACGGATTTCACGTAGTGAACGTCAGCCTAAAAGGGATAACATCAGCGGAAAATAGGATTCGTACTACGGCTCCTTATACTGTTGGAACATGCCAAGTAGGTCCTTCTAATTGAGTAGTTAGAGTATTCATTTTCGCTGCAGACGCTGAGGCATGTGACGATGCTGAGATTGGCGCGGTGCCAGCCTGTTCTCCACCATTTGTTCGCTGCTTGCCCGCTTCAAGCGTTGATGGAGAACAGGGTCGCGCCACCCCACACCAACTCCTGACACGCCCCAGCGTCTGCAGCGAAATCTACGGTCAGGGTACAGCATGGGAATGTGCGAAATGTCGGCGTGAGTAAGACCCCCCTCCCTTTTCCACAAGAAAAAATCAACTATCAAACCCCAGATACGACCCCTGCCCTCCCCAGAGCAAAAGTACGACCCCCCCCATGGGTTTGACACAACGATGCTGTACCCTGTCTACGGTACATACATCAAAATGCACGAATGAACATGAGGTTTAGGGCGACAGTGGAGGTCCACTATTTCAAAAAGATGGTCAAAAGAATACTATTGTCGGAGTATTGTCAAGCGGTACTACGTGTCTCATGAGTGAGTATTTTCCATCAGAGGGGCAGGTAAGAGAAGGCAGTTTTTACCTCTTGGGAACGCCGACTTTAGGATGAGTATCAGGACCTAAGTTACCGTCGGTGCTCTCCTACAACTCCAGAATACTAGTTCTGTAGGTTGTATAGCTCTCCCGTCGCCTAACCGAGAAACAGCGCCGACGATTATCTTCTGTGAGAGCTACACGTAAGGAGAATACCTACATCTCCATCTCGGTAGTTCTAGTTTTGCAGTCTCTTAAATGGCTCCTTTCATTTGAAAATGCGCTCAATGTTCGAATTCGAATATCGTGATCATTGCCATGTGCAAGATAAACATTTTTGTAGAGGGACCCCTTTAGGTTGGGCCAGTTGAAGGAACGACGGCATGAGCACCGTTCTTAGGCAGCGTTCAGACTTCACGACGGGTCGCGCGTTGGACGCGATCGATACGCATGCTTTTGACTGCATCGATCGCGTCCAACGCGCGACCGAAGCGCTGGCGTCGCGAACTCTGAACGCTGCATTACTGGTTCTAAGGTCCCCAAAGTGACAAACCATCACTGCAAACTAAGCTACTCACCTAAGACGGGATAGATATTTCACATTGGCAGTCTGTCTTGAATACCGTATTACAACACCGGAGGACCACCCAAGTATTTCACTGTCTCAAACAGAAGTTTCATAGGGCTGGACTAGTTCTAAACACACAACGCAATAGTGGGAGGATTCAATCGTGAGCAAGTGAGTTCACGCCACCCTCGTGCGTGCGCTGACATCAGAGATGCATCACTACACCCGTGGGTTTTCGTTAAAAGAAGAAGAAATGGACTGTATCTTCGATCGGTACTGTTTTAGCAGACCATCTCCCTGTTCTGTCTGTTCCAGATTCTCACGTCTGTGTTACCGTGAGACAAACATCTTGATCAGAACCCACAAAGAACAACTGAGCGTTCCGATCCCCAGCATTCGAAAGAGTATCCCCATCAGACATGGAGAAAAACACTTACATGAGAGTCGGAAATTTGAAATGTTAACGAACAGCTGAGGCACTTGAGCGCAACTGGTTAATATTTACATTGATAAAATTTTGCTTAACTTGCAGACCATCCAACGAGGAAAAGAATTTTCGAGCCCACAGACTACTACACTGATGTTAGAAAATTTACGGACTGGATATGTCTGATCTCAGGTATGACGATCGCTTTTCGACAAACTACACAACCATTTAATCTCTGCAGCGAATTTCCAACTTGTCACAATTTTATTATGTCCTTACAGGTGTGTGTCCCGGGCAACCGCGACAGAAGCGACCCCAGGAGCAAAAGAGGACGACGATGTACGGTGTCCACCTGGTTCACGACACTGGATTTGCGAGCTACTCGGATATCCAGATTCTCATTGAGAACCATCAAAATGTCAGCATAAATCAAGCAAAGGCTAAATCTCTTGTAGAGCATTAGTTAGCGTTGAAGTGAAGGCCAAATATCTATTGTACTGCATTAGTTGGCGTTGTGCTGCTAAATGCTACGAAGAGCTTCCAAAATTCTTAGCAGTAACACAGAGCACTCCAACTTCCACACGTAGTCAAAGGCAGCGTTCAGACTGGCCATGATATGCCGCGATGCAGTTGCAGCGCTGCAATTGTCACGCCTCATTTGCACTGCGCGCTGCACTTTGACATGGAATTTTAAGGTGCTCAACTATTACTACCCCATTTTCCCGGAAACAGTCCGGATCTTGATCGACTTCTTTCGACGAGGCGGTTTTGGCTGAAAACTGGGTTCTATGGGTAATTGGACCTCCTTGAACACGAAGTTCACATTGCCTTGGCCCGAAACTGCTTGGCGCCTGCGCCACAAGCGCCGGACAGTTTGGCGCGGCTCCAAGGCACCCTACAATACTAAATCCGCTGAAAACTTTAAATTCATAAGTTCTTTGACATCTTGGCTGGATCTGGCGCTGATGGAAGACGCTGCGATCATCTGCGCTCTGCTGAGGCTGAGCCTGACGTGAACGAAATCACTTTTTCTTCAAGGCTCAGTTAGAAAAGCGCTAAATGGCGCTGGCGTCGAAAAATAAATGTCATATCGTGATCAGAGCACCAAAAAAACAGGCTTTTATAGATCTTGATAGACATGGGTGTGGCGCCAAATCGCCTTATGGCGTCGGGGCTGAAAACTAATTTAGTATTCGTGATCACGACATCAAATAACCCTTACTATGCAAAATTACACCGAATTTGGTGAGGAAGATGGCGGCGCTAAACTGACTTCTGGCCATAATGGGGTTGCTTAGGGCCCTGACCACAAATATGGCATTTTCTCGACACCAGCGCCATTTGACGCTTTTCTATGCTGAGCTTATGAAGAGAAAGTGATTTCGTTTACGTCACCAAGATGTCAGACTCAGCCTTAGAAGAGCGCAGATGATTGCAGCGTCTTCCATCAGCGCCAGCGCCAAAATGAATGTGATATTTCGTAATCAAGATGTCAAAGAACCTATGTATACAAGTTTTCAGCGGATTTGGTGTTCTAGGGTACCTTGGCGCCCGGCCAAATTGCCCGGCGCTATTGTGCCGCAGGCGCCAGGCAGTTTCAGGCCAAGTGCAATGTGATATTCGTGTTCAGGAGGTCCAATTACCCCTAGAACCCAACTTTCAGCCAAATCTGCCCGTCGAAAAAAGTCGATCAAGATCCGGCCTGTTTCCGGAAAATTGGGGTAGTAATAGTTGAGCACCTTAAAATTCAACGTTAAAGTGCAGCGCGCTGTGCAATCGAAGCGCGACAATTGCAGCGCTGCAGCTGCATTGCGGCGCATCGCCACAAGTCTGAACGCTGCCCAAGATTGATTTGTTAGGCAGATTGTAGCGCTACGTAGCGCGACGTAGTGATACAGCTGTACCAAACTCCAGATTCCTTATTTTTTTCGTTCTGAACCCTTTCTCTTTGTTTCTCATATTTATCTGATAGTGAGCTCCTCTTTTCTACTTTATCACATTTTAATGTAGTTTTTGATACAGAACACTGTGATGATTGGTTTTATATATCGTTTTCGACTTTAATTATTTAGTTTCAGAGTTGCTATTGATGTTTGATGTCTTGCAGTGGTGCCTCGTGTTGATCCCGATTGCGAAATTGTTTTCATTCTATACGAGGACGGATCGCTGTTCGACATATAAAATCAATCATCACTCTATCAAAAAGTGTTATTTTGAATTATCGATCGATGATACCCTTTACCCAGTAAAGGGGCGGAGTCACGAGATCGCTCGTGACGAAACCCGGATGAGGCCATCCAGGTTTTTAGACGTTCCTGGAGCAGTGGGACAGCGCACGAACTGTCCGTATTCCTATGAAAGAAGACAATTACCGTTAGAAGAAG